CGAGCCTCAATTTCACCACCGATTGAAGAGACTCAGATTCGGAACTTACGAAATGCTGCTTCACTGGTCAGCCCGTGAATTTCTCAGAGCCTGTCTGTGAACCTCTGGACATCGAGGATCCATAGACCACTCAAAATCGCAAAGGGCTACGTAATGGAGTTCAGGCGTCCCCTGCTGATAAACAACAACCCAAATCGATAAGCGCTTCTAGTCCTGCTCCCACAGGTTCAGCACCAATTTCGTTGAGGCGTCATAATCTCATAAATGTCCACGTTCTAGAGTCAAAAGATGAAAACCCTCAGATACGTTATTATCACGATGTTGAGTTCCTCCATGGTCTCATCGAGACTTGGATGTGGGTGAAGACGGTGTGACGATTAAACAAGAATCCGAATTGGCCAGGAAAGTAACCAGTCATGTCGACCTCCGAGAATCACCTTTGCAAATCGCAACATGCCTCAGCTCATACTGTTTTGTCTGTCAAGGCTGAAAAGCATACAGTTTCACATCTGCCGAGACTTGGAACCCGAAGACAGGGATCGTTTGAAGACTGCGGCCATTGAGCTCAAACGCCGTACTGAAGAAGGTAAAACTGACTTAGAAATCGTAAATTTGCGCGTGATCAAGAAGGGTGTACGAACCCGTATCAACCGGTTGCTCAACCTCCGGGCACGTCCTGCGGTAGCTCTCAGGACCGCCGTGTGGCATTCGCCAACTTGTGCAGCCTAATGAACAAACGTGACGAACTGTGCCGTTTCGCTGTCTCGGAGCGGCCGGACGTATTAGGACTCGCTGAGGCTTGGCTGAACTCCGACGTCATACCCCAAGAAGTCGCGTGGTCAGGATACTCTTGTTTCCGATGCGACCGAAAATCAAAGGCTCACGGTGGTGTTCTGTTGTACATCAAATCATCACTATCTGGCAAACTTATCAGCACCTATCGGAGCGAGGATAACTTGTGCGAGCAACTGTGGTGCACAATCCGCCTCAGACGCGCAGAACTAATAGTGGGTGTTATCTGCCGTAACCCATTAAACTGTTGTTGCGATTGGCTACCACATATACAGAAGCACATGAACCACCTTCAGTTCTTACTGATGGGGATCTAAATTTACCTAAGATTTTCTGGCTAGACGTTCGGCTTCTTCCCGTTCATGGCGACGTTGAGGCTCAAATCGGAGCAATGTAATATGTCATCCAACCGACGAGCATAACTCCGCACTCGGAATCTTGTCTCAACCTAATGTTGACGAGCCACGAGAAGAAGCTGAAAGAGATCAGAGTCCTCGTACCTCTGGCAAACAGTGACCACTGCTCCATTGTGGCAAGCATAGAGCTGCCGTCACCATATTACAACCAACGGAAGCCGACATACAACTATTGGAAGACGGACTTCAACGGGCTCATCCAAGCCACAAGTCAGACTGATTGGACACTACCACAGGATGCGTCGCTTGAGGCTAGTTGGTTATTAATGAAGGGCAAGCCTTACTCGCTGTGTACTAGGTTCGTTCCCGTGAAGTATTCAAAAGTCGGACCTGTCAAACCGCATTGGTTTGATACGGAATATACATAGTTAGCGCGAGGGCGTTGCAAACTTTCGGATAGATACATCATCTCGGGTTGTGGCGAAGATTACATGGTGTCCAAGAAACAGCGTGAATTATGTAACCCCGCAAAGATCAAGAAACGCCGGCAGCTTGAAGAGGAGATAGCATCCTCGGCCACAACCGCCCCCAAGAGAATATGTGCCTACTTGAAACGTCAACTGAAACCTGGGGGCGACCTACCGGACAGACGCACATTTCAAGTGCGGTCGCCTTGGCTACTCATTTCCTCACCGTATTTTCCAGTAAACCGGCGGCTGTTCCAGTACCGGCACAGGTTGCGCCAGTCTTGCTCAACAGCCTACAATGTGATGTAGACAGTGTATCATCTACTCGTCAACCTCGAGGGTGCAAAGCCCCCCCCCCGAACCAGACGGAGTTCACCCACTAACAAAGTCCATATCGAATGTCATCTCACCCGCCGTGACAAACCTATTCAATAAATCACTCTCTGAAGGATCTCTCCCCAACGACTGGAAACGCTCAATAGTGAGACCGCTTCCCAAGGGTGGTGATCCGAGTAAAATAGAGAACTATAGACCGATCTGTTAGACTTCAGTATTATCCAAAGTGCTCGAGGTTGTGAAAAAGTGTCGGCTATCCTTCTTCGAATCGATGGACATATTGAGGCCAGCGCAACACGGCTTTAAGAAAGGGCGATCCTGCATCACCAACTTGATGTACGCTAAACCACCAGTGGGTACCAGCTCTCAACGAACGGAAGGATGTTGACGTGGTGTACGTCGATTTTAGTAAGGCGTTTGACAGAGTGAACCACGAGGTATTCATTCGTAAACTGAGGACCTAGGGAATCGGTGGCACGCTACTTCAGTGGTTACCCGAGTTTATGTGGGAGGAAAGTTTACAGTAAAGGTAAATGACTGTCTGACAGACTGCTTCTCATCCACCAGTGGCATGCCTCAAGGAACTGCACTTGGGCCAGTATTATTTCTTATTCATAGCAACGATCTCGCGCAGCAGTTCCAGTCATAATGTGTCCTGTTTGCAGATGATTTGAAAACCTGGATGAGCATTGAGAACCAGCACGACTGCGTTCGCCTCCAGCATGACTTAAATGGACTGTCTACGTGGTAAACTGAAATGCAACTCCCTCTTAACGCAAGCAAGTCGGAGTTCATCAGTATCACTAAACGTCCATCCATTAGATCATACATTTTGGACGGCCAGTTGCTCCATCCTAACACATCTGTCAGTGACTTAGAAGTGCTCTCGCAACATGATATGAGATCATTAAAAAATATAGAGAAATTGTAACGTGCGGGACTTCGTATGCTCTGGGCATTAAGACGCAGTTTCTCCACATGGTCCGAAGAAACCGTTCCTCGCACATTAGACCAGTCCTTGAATAGGGCGCCCCAGTTTATCATCCGATAACCCAGTAGGAAACGGAAAAGCTGGAGAAAATACAGCACATCGCAACTAGAATGATACGCAGTCTACGAAACCTTCCGTGTGAAAAACGTTTTATAGACTCAGACTCTACATACTATTCTACCACCGAGTAAAAATTGACCTTATTATACACATTTCAGTACTACACTTGAATTACTTCCACATACTGCGACCAATATTTCACCTGCGGGAATCCTGTAACACCCGAGGACATCGTTACAAACTCAGGGTCCCCTGCATGAACAAGGTATCACACCAGTTTTGTAAAGAACGAAGAATCGTAAACTTACGTAACAGACTACCAGAAGGACTAATGAAGGCCGATTCTGTGAAGTGTTTTAAAACACGTGTCGACGATTATTTCGAAAACATGTGCTTTTGTGAAACGATGCATATACAATGCCAAAAGAAGACATCGTATACCCGGAAATAATGACACCAATACGAATTCCTAACCGAACAAGGATAAAAGAGTAACTGACAAAACACTACCGCAGAAGATTCGCAATTAAATGGTTTTGATTTTTTTATAATTCGGTAGAGATGTACAGAAAGCTTTCTACCTGCACTTAAGTACAGTCTCAGTCTCATCAGTGGACCAGCTTCAAACTTGAGCGGTTAGATCACCAGTCAGAAATACAGTATCCGTGCTGTACTGCCGTGACTAAAGGAGCCCGTTTTTGACGAGTCAATGTTACAGTTGCTGGGGTATACACAGCATGACAAACGCAATTGTTGTTCTCATGCTCCCAAAGAAAGCTGTGTCGCCGATGCCGTCTTATCTCCGCACGATAGCAGCTGGTTGTGACGGTATGTTGTCTACACAAGGTGTAGGCGCCTTGACCCTGAATGTTTGCTTAGGGAATTAAGGTTTTCCGTTAAGTCCCCCTTCTCTCCCTCTTATTATTCTGTATTCCATAGGTGGTTAACGTTGGGTGGCAGCGAAGAATCAGTTCAAATGGCTAATGTACTGTTGTTAATAATGATGTGCCCCTAGAGCTATGAACGAGTCAGTCAGTTGGATGGTGCACGTCCGACTACTGATCAGAATCCCCGATTACGGCAGCTTTAGTTTGGCTTGGCTAACATTTGAAACTGCGTTCTCCCCGGATAGACGCAATGAGAAAGTGTCATTTGGTCGAAGGCTCCAAGTAAAAACAGATGAATTGAGGTTTTCCGCTTAACTGAGTCGAAACTAGAGAACAAAGCAAGATGGAGGAGGCCCGAGAATCGTGGGGTTGAAAGAGGGCGGGGGGGCAATGAAGTTGAAAATAAACGATAAGGACGAAATAGAGTAAGAAGGAGAATAAGAAGAGGAAGGTCTGAGGAGCATCATCTTCACGCATGTCTACACCGCTCGGTGCAGCAGATATGGTGTATAGGCTAACTTCTGCGGCGGCCACAACATTAAGTCGTTTTCATTGTGCGACGTAGATAGGATAAAGTTAGGTTGTTCAACCTCAGATAAAAGAACGATTAGGATTTGCAACTAAAGCGTCTAGTGTGGAAAGACTGTAAGGCATCGGACTACAGAGCCCGTTTCAAGGAATAACGATACATCATGAATCCAATCCCAAATCTGGAGGGTTAGAACACCGAGTTTGCCTGGTTTTTTATTATTGACCAATCCGGTATGAGTGGTCTTGAAAGTGCAAGAAGTACTACGCACACAAACTCTTGCACCACGATAAAGTCTATTCGAAAAAACGGGGTTTTCGGAACATCTGTAGGAATAACGTATGGAAGCTCTGCATATTCAGGCATTTTAGATAACAAATATTGAGTAGAATGCCACCTTCGCTTCAAAAAACATGAGGGACCGCTCACATTTTGCTCTGGTGCATAAACATTCGATGGTATCTTAAAGAAGTGTGCCTCAAGTAAGTTGCAAACAGGGTCATGACAGCGTGTGATGCACTCACATATGCCCCATCAAACACCACTAATATATAAACGGCATTTTATTCTACCTTTCTCAAGAATGCCGGAACTCTTGACAGGTGAGCGAGATCGAACAAGACAAAGAAGTGCTGCTTTCGATCCAAGCTTAATTCCGGTAAGTGCCTTTTCACCGACAGAACGAATTCTTAATCGTATCGCTATTCCAGGGATACGCGACCGGGTTGAGTATAATGGACTCTAACCAAACGGCAGAGCTACGTGGACGTATTCGAACACTATTGTGCAGAACAAGACGTACTGCGGAATCGGCAGATAGGCACACGAAAACGGCACGACATCGAAGAGAAGCGGAAACCAACTGAGTACCGACACAGCCTGTGACCGATTCTGTCTCTCTCTCTCTCTCTTTCTCTCTCCTACAACCTTTGTATGTTCAAGTGTAAAATCTCACCATTAGCTTCTGATATACAAACAAATCGATGTTGTTCTGAATTCAAAGAGATTCTTCGTTAAAATATATGTGGAGGACAATGCATGCATTTTAAAAAACCGGGTGGGTTCGACAGCTACAAAATGATGAGAACGGCCTAAGACGTTGCAGTAAGTAGGTCTGAAGATGGTGAAAAGCGCCTAGGGGAGAAGGAAATTTGAGGCTACAGGAGCAGCACAAGTTGGAAGTTAATGAAAATCCCAATCCATGCGTATGTCGTGTCCGGTGGGATCTAGTTGAACGAATGAAAGACTGATGGGTGCGCGACAATCGGAACGGAAGGCTCAGGTTAAATAAAGTAACATGTGTACAAAATAGAAGGGAAGGCACAGGTGATGATCAGCATTATTAACGTTTCAGCGTAGAACGCGAATCGGTTGGGGTGAAGGGAGAGCTAGTGCGTGGAAGAACGACCAGGTTGAACAGCCGACGAGAATGGGTAGGCGGAATATCCGGCTGATGTTGTCTCGCCAACTTAGCCTCGGCCTTCAGTCGTTTTTTCTCCGCCTTAAGTCTTTCTTTCTCCGCCTTCTCCAAGCGTTTTTGTTCGGCTTTGTCCGCCTTTTTCATTTGTTTATACGCAGAAGGCCTGAATAGAGTTTTTCCCATTTCATCCGAGCCCAACAGCCGCGGTAACGTGTTTGCTGCCTTGTTCACAGTGCGTTCAGGGGAGTGTGATGGGCTGGTTTTTGCGGAAGTGACTGTCAAACCAAAGGAGTTGTGATTAGGAGCAAACGTCGAGTCATCGTTGGATTCACAATGGTCTGCATAGGTAGGCAGATAAAGAGGTGTGAGACGGTTGATTCAATGTGAATTTACAACTCGTTGTGCACGATAAAGAGAGAAAGAGGAACTCAAGAATAAGGTGAGATAAGGAACAAACAATATTGGAACACAGATAAACGCACCAAGGCGGACTGGATTCTCCTCGGAATGATTTCTCAGTACTGGAGGGATCGCTGCCGACATTGGGTTACGTGAAGGATCAGTGCTGAGCTGTGGACGGGCACATATGCTCACTTTGGATTCATCACTAAAAGAATCCTCTCCGCGGCAACAAAGCGTCGGCAGAGTGCCACAGTCTGAGTTCTCAGCGCTTGTGGCAACCACGGAAGAAGTCTGGGGTTGACGTTGACGCTCATGCAGCGCAATCAATCTGAGGACCTCTTTACGTCGTAACTCGTATTTGAGCTCAATTTTCCGTCGATACTCTACTTCTTCTTGATTCAAAATACCCAAGAAAGTGTGGAGTTCAGGGAGGCTAAATCCATTCCACTGTATGAAAGAGAAACGGTGTTCGGTACATAACTTGTAAGGCATTGGTTCGACGACAGGAAGATGAAAGACAGCAAACAAGCAGATTGTATCATGGGAGCACATGAAGACAGAAACCCGCAGCCAGTAGATGCATGCGTGATAATGGAAAATGAGACAGAGAAAGAAATGTGCGCTAAACTAACTTAGAGGCGTGTGTGGTTGAAAAGTCATTAGATTATGTCATTCAACACAAAGTCCGATGGACCGCCAATGGTAGACCAACCAAAGGCTGACCGCGTGAATAAGCATGTCAAGTGATTCGGAAAATGCACCTCTGATCAATCAACCAAAGAGAAGACGGACGGATCTCACATGTGAACTTTACTAGTGAGTCCAGGTAAGAGGGGATCCACCACAAATAACGTAAAATTCGAGTAACAAATAAAAGAGAAACCAAGTTCTCAATGGCGGCGGTAGTAAGCGCGAGATGGAGATGCAAACAACGATTGATACTCGAGTTGGCATGGTACCAGCAATCACGGTACACCGTGCACATAGTCCAGCCACGTGGCCTGAAAAAACAGGCAAATGTCACCCGAAATCACAACGTCGAAGAGTGGCATGTCCTGCGAGTGTTATACAAGTGCAACGTAGTTGATATCAGTTCACCATGTACCGGATTGGACCAAACGACATGAAATAAAGCAGAAAATGAATCCAGCTGGGTTCACAAAGCTTATTTTGACTTGAAAGCATGCACCCAACCATACAATGCAAGTGGTACCCATTAGCGTACAAAACTACTAACAATGACAGACGAATGAGAGTGTGTGGACGTGTTGGCAAGTTATTCCTAAAGCGGTCCTGAAAAGATGGGTGTAAAAGCAGGTGCGCTATTGGCATTTCAATGCAGCTATAGGGACCAGGAGGTGACGGAAAATATCGACAATTGGTCCGTAGTGATAAACTTCGATTATCCGATAAGCTCTGTGGGCACGACAGAGCAAGTAAGTGTACCTCCAGGTCACACACACCACGTCGAGATGAGAAGCTGTTGGAAAAACCTGTACTAGAAGAAAGCTTCAGGACTAAGTTCACGACATATTATGACAAGATAAATAAATAAACAAAAAGTTGTTCTCGGGAAATTCAAGGCACACCACTGTGGGCATGATCATTTATTTACAAGCATGTATGAATGGCGGAACACAAAATAGCAAGAATTAGTAAGGTTTTTGGAAATGTTATATAATGTACGTAAAAATAAATCAGAAAACAAATATCCTGCACGGTCGTGATGTTAGACAAGGACAAAAATGTGTGTATGCATCAAACTGGTGAAAAATAGAACACCCGCGAAAATGAACACAAGTAGCTGTGGTGGGAAAGATGAAGTACCGACTAAGGTGGAGACGGATTGGACTCACAACAAATTTCCCGATAAAATAACCTCTTCAAATTGTTGTAGGGGCTCAATGGTCAGGATAACGATGTTTTGATGAACTACAAAATCGTGCACATGGAAGTGTTGTGAGTTGAGGGGTCGGAAGATGGGGACTCCCATGCACAAACAGCAATAGATTGTTTGAACGAATAGGCACGGGTTCCGCGATCGCCAGGATTCAAGATAAGAAACATCTTCAGTAAAATCTGGGCTGTCCACCGTCCCACGGCAGGGAAAGCTAATCACAGGATCACAAAACACCAGCATTAGGTATATATGGTCATTATGGTACAGTAGTTCGGTTGAGCTGAAGATAACTTTTTTATTCAGCTGATTCGACAAGACTGTGGCACTGACTACATTTCACGGGGATGTCAACAAGTCAGAGATTTGAGTAAGTCAATAGGATTCACGATATGGATGCATTTGCGAAGATTCACGTCACTGTGACAATAATAAATAGAAACGACGAGGAAGGTGAGGCAGAAAAGAAGGTGGGATTTAAAGAGGGTTAGCAATAAAATGCGAGTTTGAATAACACAGTCAAGGAAGATGAATGTAGGAACAACATTGAGACTACGATTGATTCGATCGATTGCGAATTACATGTTTGGTCAGATGGTTCAGCCAATTTCTTTATGCAGCTCAACGGTTTCACAAAATTAAGTACAATGACAGTAAGCAGTCCAAAAAGAGACAAGCGGCTAAGAGGCTGAAGAAGATGTTTTAGAAAACACAAGCGGTCGAGATTTAACAGGCACTCCAGGGTTACACCCTAAACGCCAACTAGAGGACCTCCGTAATGATCACTAAGGTTGGTCATCAGATACGAGCCTGCAAGCAGAGATGCGTAAAATAGTCAGTATTCTTGACGTCTTGAATGCGAGGCAGAAATCTTTCTGATCCATGCAGTAACCTCTGTCAGTCTCATACATCAGAACAATTCCGGCTCTATTATCTGACTTATACCCTAGTGCATTCGCATTTTTCTGGGGTTGCGTCAGAACGCTCAGATGAACTTTTTCACGAGATATTTGATGGCCAGCCTGTACCTAAGATATTGGTGGCATATTTTGACCTTGATGATGACTTGCGCTGTTGGGCTACTAATGTTCACGATGGTGCAAGCGCAGACTGTTGGAAATGGAGATTTTCGAACGTAAATTCCAAGTCTAACCATTTCAAATTAGTTCGTGGGAAACGGAATTTCAGACCGATTGAAAGGGCCTCGAGTTGTGGTCTGCCTAAATGTAGGGAGAAGAAATTGTGCACGAATTTTCCGGGTCGCATGGAAATGAACCTTTCGGGGTTTACTTGAAGCAATTTGCTGCCGTCATGAAGCTAATCGTACATTTATTTGCCTTGCCCCAATTCTCTCAACGTGTGATTCAAATTATTTGCATTCTTCAGTGCACATTTCCTGCAGTGCGTTGGAGCAGCTCGGCAATTCGGAAAAGGGTGATATGTCGTTTGTTCAGTGTGACGGTTTAAATCAGCATGTAATAGGTTAATCCGATTACGTCTGAGTATTTCCCAAAAGTGCTTGAGATATTCGCAGCATAAAGTGTATCCAGCAAAAAACTGTACAGTCGCTTTGGCTACCGTAAGTCATGTGCGGCTGATCGTTACGCTTTAAGAGCGATGCAACAGCGAACTGAATCACTCCAAAGCTCTCTGGTGCCACCGTCAGGATGTACCACGCAGTTGAGCTGCGTAGAATCATTTAAAATCTCCGATAGTGCAGAAAGCCGATTAGTTAGTCTTTGTCGACAATTTGAAGCTGTGGCTTGGGGTCAATATTGTCGAATATGCGAACAGACTGCAGGCTACGCTTGACACGCTGCGCAAGGTGTTCACCTTCTGAGGGTTGCATATAAACTGCGGTAAGTGCTTCGTACTCTTTGTTAACGCTTCTGAACTACTCAGTACCTATCGCATTGATGCTCTACTAGCCACGAACGCCGTTTGAGTGAGGGAATTTGGTGTCAATGTGTCTTCTGATCTAAAAACGAATCAAAATACATCAAAAAAGCCAGCAGGATGTTCTGGGCTAAGAAAATCCTCATTTCGGGTGACTCATGAGATCTTCAGACTTGTTCGTCTCATATGTGCGCTGCATTATCGAGTAAGATTTTGTCAGTGTGTTAGCCACGAAGTAAGTTGGGGTGCAACCTGATAAAAAATAAGAACGTGTCGTCTGTACGCTGTAATGGCGCTTCACCGCCGTGCGACCAGCACCAGTCGCACGCGGGCTGAGTATACCTCGAGAACACCCATCCCTACGCGTATTCGAACCCGCGCCGCAAAATTACGAGACAAGCTCGTTACCTCTAGGCTACGGGTCGACAACCCGATAAAACAAATTTAGTGACGAGGCCTGGAATTAAATAAATAAATAAATATTTTATTCTCGACTTTGCGAGACACGCCCTGATCAACACAAAACGCGATAACAGAGTGGATCTACGTAGTGAGCTCCAACGATTCTTCCAGTCCAACAAATATAAATAAATGCGAGGTGCAGTTCAACTATGTGGTCTGATCAATGTGTACAGCAGGATCGCAAAAAATCAATTTGTTTACGCTTTTTACAATGGACCCAAAACGGGTATTAAAGTAATTGGCAGGTTTAAGGTATCAAAGAAATTAAAAAGTCAAGAACAATAACAAACGCAGATTTAAACAAATGTTCAGGTAAATTAATACGGCCACTCGTGGAACCATCCCCAGGGGACCTGCTTCCATGCAAGGTATTCCCTGGAAAGGCTTCGCCCGCACTTTCATGCTATACTTGGGGCGTGGCGGCGTGGTATAGTAACATATGAGCCATCATCTGTGAACATAGTTGGAAGCTGTTTAGACCAGGAAGGCTGCAAGTCCGTTCAGAAGTTACTTCAACCATCCAAGTAGCGAACAAATGGAGCAAGGTACCAGAGCCGGTGGTCAAAGCTTCTAGTGAAGAATACTTTTTTATAAGCTGCTGGACTTCCATTTGGTTAGTGTGTCGGGGTCATGTCATCATCACTATAACTGTAACGGTCCGCCATGGGAGGCAGCTTCGCATTAACGTGCATCAATTCTGCACTGATCGGGAAGTGATGGAGCTGATAAATGTTTTTCCTTCTGCTCTTTACAATTTATTGCATTTATGTTGATGATATTGCCCTGCTTGGTGATGACACACAGAGCACACAGGCTTTTCTAAACCGATTGGCGACTGAAGTATCAAAATATCGTATGACAATTGCCCCTAGGAAATGCAAAGTCCTGGTCCTGGATTGGCATCCACCTGCCTCAGTGTTCACTCTTCAAGGTACGCAGCTTGAAAAAGTGGACAACTTTGTTTACCTGGGAAGGTGTCTCTGCTGATGGAAGCATTAGAAAAGAGATTTCCCTCCGCAATGCCAAAGCCCGTTCGGCGCTCGCCAACTTGAGGCATCTGTGGCGACGCCGTGACGTGTCACTATTGGTAAAGGGCAGGGTCTACAATATATGTGTTTGCGCGGTGCTGCTGTATGGGAGTAAGTCCTGGCCGATTTGTGTGAATTACTTGCGTCGGATTTCGGCCTTCGACGATGGAGGTCTGCGGAGAATAGTTCGAGTGTGGTGGATGAACCACGTGCGCAATGATGATGTTAGACGTCGTGTCTTGGGTAACACGGGACTTCCACTTGACGGACTGGTGCCGCTGCGCCAACTGTGATGACTGAGTCACGTTTCACGCATGCCATACGAAGGGCTGCCCCGACGCGCTCACTTCATTCGCACAGGACCAGGCTATAAGTCGCCCGGTGGTCAGTCTAGCACGTGGAAAGAAAGGAGTAAGGCGCTGACTTCCAGTTTAGCTGTCGTATGTCCCGTGCGTCTTCCTGGCTGGAAACGTTTTCGGAGATGGCGCAGAACCGGGCCCAATGAAAAATGTATGCGAATATTCGTCTTGATTCTCACGAGTTACATCGCAAACATTAAACAGACAAAAAAGACAAAACGGCGTGTGAGAAAAACAAAAAGAGAAGAAAACCAAAAGCAAGAAAAGCAGTTTTTGTAACTTTTATCCTTTTGCCCCTTTGTAGCCTCTGTAATTATTACTTCCATGTCATGGTTTTTGCTGGCCCTATGTGTATCTTGTAGGCTGCAGCCAACACACACACACATATATATATATATCTATATATATATATAATCAGACAGGTTAACTATGCATATATACCTATGAGTTGAGAAAATTTGGGCAAGTCGCAGCAGCCTCCAAAGCAGATGGTCCTCCACAAATGTCCGGGGCCAACACTGTCCTCTTCAATGTTCGTTACTTGCATAACAGTGGAGGGTGAGATGCGTTATATCGCATCTGGTTTGTCGATTATGACAGTCCGCCGTCGTCCTCTATGGCTCAGTGGCACAAGCTGTTGGCTAGTGTCTAGAAACCATGAGTTTGGTTCCTAATGGAGCCGAGAGATGCGCATTGCCGACGAGTCCCGATAGAACGGAGCGGCCACCCAGTGCTTTCTGGGTGTGTGGAGAACCAGCTGACTTGGAAGCCACTGAGAATAACCGTGAATTATTTCCATGCTAGCCGATCCATGGCACCTCGAAAGTGCAGTCGCGGTCAATCAAGTGAACGAAATTGAACTGACCATCGACCGGGATCCCGTAAAGTAAGAGAGCAGGCGAAGCACTTCAGATGCAATTACGGTGTGAATTGTATGCGACCGCGGTGTGACATCACCCCAGGTGATGCTGTGGCGTAGCGACGTGTGTCGTATCGTGGCGTGCCAAACAGGGGAAACGAAAGCGGTGTACATGGGCAGTCCCGAATTCAACTGGAGGTTAAGCATTGGCTAGCCAGTCGAAATTGGTCGGAAGTGTGTACGGATGGGGGTTGCAGTCAGAATTTCACTCGTTTTCAAGTGAATGTCGTCCGCCACAGATTTGTTCATAGTACGTTCATCAGGAAGTTAGGACAGCTTTTACGCTGTCTACCATGAATAACCCTAGTTAATCATTAAAAATAAAAGATGCGATATGATCGGACGTTCTCGTTCGACGGCATCTCAGAAACATCTCTTAGTGACCACGATAGCATACATCTGACGATGTGTGCAGTACTCACACATATTGACCTGCAGTTAATAATACATCCAAAAGCGTTCTATCTAACGAAAAAAACAGTTGAGAATAGAAGTGTGGCCGACGAGTACTTTTCAATGGGGATACCAACAAATCGGTATTGGTCCTGTAATACCGACTAGAGTGATGTACACATTGTCATCCTTGATATGCCTCGACGAGGTTACCTCAACTATGCTGACATTAATAGGCATTGTAACTGGCTCGATTGCGGACCACCCAGACAAGTCTTCACATGACGAAGTATCCCCAACCAGCTCGAAGATTGGTGGCCACCGGGGAGTGGCGACTATCGAATCAAATAGAGCGACGTACTGCACAACCTTAAATTCACAGGACTACATTACAAAGTTCCACCGAGAGTAGTGGTGTGAAGCTACATGTCAGATGAGAACGGAAATGGAAAACAAGTACAACACAATCAAAAACCAACCTCAATGTCACCAGTTTCGTTCTCCTGTAAAACCAGACGCTTCACACAGAGAAGCTGATTGAACTTGCTCTCTCCTTCTTCGGTCCAGCGGAGAAAGAGACCGAGTGGAGATTCGTTGTCGTACAGCTTCCGCACAGATACTGCGAACACGAAAGAGGCCAGAAGTATGTGAAGTGAAGTATCTACTGCAATCCGCGCAATAAAAAAAGCAAATGCGGACGTTCCTGGACAGTTAAGTAGTGTCCACGAGCAAAACCAAAGAGCACAACCAATGGAAAGAAATCTATCGTTATCAGAAATCCGGCTAGCGTGGATAAACCGAATGCTGTTACAAGAGGGGCGTCAGAAGAAAGAAAATATAAGCGAATCGACTACAGAGTGCAGACACCTCGGCATGCAGAGCAAAATTGAGCGAGGTATGCTGTGAGCCGGTGTGAGTAATCCGTCTTCAACACACACACACACACACACACACAAGGAACGATTAACAGAGTCGTGGGACGTTACGTGCCTAGCTAGTTGTTCACAAATGCGGACCGTGAAAGAAAAGATGTAATCGATTTCAGACAGGGCTGGGGAATCAGAGCACCGAAGACACACAAAGGGATGACAAAGTGACCCGAAAAAGTGAAACGAGTAGTGTCAGAGTGGAGAAGGCATGGACCGCAGTCAGAAGCGACATGGTGGAGAAGGTGAAAGATAGACCAAAGCGAAGTAGTCTGAAGCGATGACACAGCAACTGACCAGTGCATTCAGAAGCCTCAGTACGAATGACAGGAGGGAGAATAGATTGATGAAGGCGGTGGACACTTAAATGTAAGAATTAAGAAAGGAAGTGCCTAGCCTTGTTTTTAAACAAGGATTTTAGTGGTATGATAGGTGATCATAAGAACCAGGGCCAATTAACCGTCGATGTCATAGAAGCAATTCTGTGAAGGCAAGCAAAGCATTCTGCCAGGCATGTTTGATCGTGAGCTGAGACAGCCCCCGGATTGCTATCTGGCAATGTCCAAGAACAATCGGTAACAAACTGAGATTGATGAACATCGGGAAACGAGCAATAATCAGAGATGGAATAATTCTTCCTAGATATTGTGGCGATGTTAACGACTTAAGTTCATCCCCAACCAGCAAACGAAGGATGCCAATTGACACATCGGTGTCCGCTGTACCGGACAGTAGTGTTCACGGGACATAGCGGGTATTGGGTGGGGACTTAGGATACACACTCGCTTTACTTCACATCAGACACATCTGTCCACAACAGGGCGTCGATCAGCTATTGCGAACAAATTGAAACGTGGTACTAACCTTGTTGATCCCCTTCAATTGTGTGCTCATAAAGCGCAAATTTCTGCGGGTTGTCTTCAAGTTGGAATCGATCAAGAAGAGCAGCGATCACTTTCTGTGCAGTGGTGGACCTTGCAAATGGAAAGCAGGACGAATTAGACAAGGACAGAGCAAAACGAGAAGGAGCAATAAATGTACGGCATGCACTGATTTGAAAGCAGTGGGGTTTACGCTGACATGCCGAAGAATTATACGCTAAGTACAAGATGCATGGGGGGTCAATTAAAAATATATCGGTTACCTGACAGGCTGTGTTTTAGAGCCTATACTTCCAAACATAATTAAACAAATGCAAACTGAAGCAGTTGAAGGATAAGGTTGATATGTAACGGCGTATGGATAAATGTAGCTCATGAAAAACTAAACAATGACAGGATTCGCCACATACTGAGTAAACGAGTCGTGCAGTGAAGTTTCGGTGTAAAACTTCACAAATGCTTTTGAGCGTTGAACGGAGACGGATCGAAAAGAGTCAGTGTTGCAAGTAAGTCCTTAAAATAAGCTGATCTGAGGACCCCAGTTACACATGAAAGAAGCGATGATATAAGGGAAACGACACACATGCAACGGTTGAACGCATGAGAAAGTTAAGTGGCTAAATGCGGAGTGAAAGAGAACGGAACAAAAGTGCGGAGAACGCTGATGACCGAGTGGTGAGGGGCGCGACACAACAAGGTGCAGCTATGTGATCATCGCTTGTAAGTGGTGTAACCGAATACGGCACTAGTTTGACCAGCTTCGAATGAGCCAAACAAGAGAAAATGGAAGGTCTGTCAAGAGGCTAGCCCGCCGAACAACCTCCCCGTGGTATCAGCTGGGTGGTTAGTTCCAGCGAATGGCTCGGCGGCAGTGTTGCAGTACGTAATAGGTTTCGGTTTGGCAATCGTTCTCCCTATAAAAAGCCACAAATGTCTGTTTAATAACACTGCGACGTGGCGGGTGTGACTCGCCACAAATTAGTCACAGCCTCTTGCCCACTCCACGGGCGACAGTCATCTACTTCGAAGAGTTCCTATCACCCCTTCTTGCACTGGTTATCCGATCAAACACAATCACAAATATAGAGTTGCACAAAAAACTCAATCAACTTGGCTATATAAACACCTACCCACATCTATATATGCACAGTAGGTAACTGGTCAAGTTGTAACATTGTTGTACAGTAACCGATCCTTCATGTTTGTATTACCATGAAAATGCCTACACAAATTATTTATTTATTTATATACAAACATAATCAACATAATAACCTAACAGAAAATGAACCCGGCGCAACGGTGGGAACAGAAATTCCAAAGTGAATAGCCATTGGGGCTGTAGTCACGACGATGGAGCCAAACAAGATAACGGTGTACCAAAATCCATCTCGTAATGCAGTGCAAAACACAAGTCTAAATTGGGAGCACTTCTTATGGGGTGTTGCAATGTGATGCAGACGGAAAAGTATCTGGGGACGAACACGTCAATCACAGGACGCGATGCAGAAGAAGTAAAAACCAAGTCAGTAAAGCACGGCCGGTGGTCGAAAGGATTGCACGCCTGGCTTGCAACCCATAGGTAACCGGTTCGAATGCGCATAGTGGCTGGCGTCCTCGCGATATACTCAGCCCACGCGCGAGTGGTGGTGGTCACATAGCAGCGAAGCGTCGATACAATGTGTCAACGTACTGCTGATAACTTTGTTTTTCTTCTACAGTAAAACACAGAGTGGCCTGTGACCGTCAGGACGTTGCCAATGGCTTTGCGATCATGGCATATATTTCTAGGCGAAGCTGTTGGCGCGAGTCCCAAAATGAATGGTAGGATTGTACTTGGTAAAATAGGTAGTCAACAATCCCACCACCAATCTCAAGGGTGTGGGATCCGCTGTCGCAGCGTATTAGGGAACATAGAGATATGTGCCGCGGAACAAAACGATGAACAAATCCACGCCCACTAACGCAGAAGGCGAAACTGTTAGAAACAGGTGTGATGTGAGACTAAATCTATTGAATTGTGGCCACAGAGAAAGGTCACTGAGACCAACGACCTGAATGAGATACTCCAAAAAACAACTGTATTTTGTGCACTCGCAGATTGAGACGTATGTAAATTACGGTTATAGTGTTTAAATATGTTGATAAGAATCGACTGAGTTCTCTAAATTGTGGGTAGTAAAATTAGCACACATCATCATCAATACTCGATAGCTGAAGGTGAGAAATACATCACAGCTGTCGCAATACAAAAATATTAGCACACAGTGTAACTAGAAAATAATTGGGGCAAATAGGTAGTGTCTGAAAGTTCCATGTAAACTAAAAACTACTACCATTTACTTAAATACAGTATGCTTCTCAGAGGCGGTGCTTGAATAGGATACTGAAACTCAATACAAGTGGATTGGCAGCTAACTTGGTGTACAAATATCGGGGACCAAATGTTGATGTTATCCGATTGGGGAGGGACGGTTGCGGATGCTCAAATACTGAGCAAAGAGAAGAGTATCTTCAAATGAGCGTGCCACTAGTAGCAAAGATTTGCTACGGCCGGAGAGTGCACTTTTAAAAGCCGCGTCGACTGAAGTTACTTATTTGAACGTCACGATAAGGAGCGATGAGCACTGACGTTAGTTAACCACTAAGCAACTGATCAAAGGGTTCCGACCTGAATTCACTTGACAAACACAGGGACAGGCCCGTGATTGCATCGTAGATTGGTTTGTCTGACTTGAAATGCACATCTAAACCGATCGCGCAAGCTTGTGTGAAGAGTGTACCACAAAAAGATCTTTCCATACTGAAAACAATCGATAAGGATCTACGAAAAGCTGTGTGTGGGGGGCATGTTAGGATTGGCCTACACTGCCTCGGTTTTGTGACCGTGATGTCAATGGCTCTGTCGCTTCTTACCGAGTAAAGGCTCTATCGAGCGACCGGGTGACCACACGGACGGTAAAACTATACCGCTGTCCCATGGGGACAGACCCAGCTATTGGATAAGAGCTCCGGATGAAACCAAAGCAGAAAGCTGCATGTATTGAAAAACCATGAACAAACTGACCGGAATAACCAATCGGGTAACTGTGAGCTGTCTTCCAGGATAGAGACCATTGGGTCATCCACATTAATTGACAAAGTCAGGAAGATGCTGTAGTCAGTTCGTTTAGTTCATCCATTAGCTAGCCAAGTTTAGGTTGTACGAAAGTTATTCATTCCCATGGACTTTTGCGCGCTCCCCTCACTATTGTAATGCTTGTTCTGGTGGCAGCGTGACGCATTGCACGCGGATCGGTCGCAGCTTGAGGCGAACTGATGAGACTAACCGAAATCCAACAGCAGGGATGAAAATGAGACAATTAGGCGAGGAAAGGATTTCAGTATACCCAGAGTGCCACGAAGACAGGAAGTTATAAATCATAGCGAATACCGCTGTGTGATCCTTAGGGATTACCGATACTGCGCAACGACTCCCTATTTATAAGTCACAATATTATCTAATTGTGTGCCGAAGCCTCCGTCAGGCAGCATGGCATTCATGGGTGAATTCATGTAGCGGCCAGGTGTCGTCGTACTTAACCACTGGTTGAAACAGCTAAGGCTCCTTGAGACGGTAGGTAAAAGGCACTAAGCGAAATGCACGGACAAAGGATCCCAAAGGGGGTTTGGCAGCTACGTTTGCGAATGGACTCGTCTTCATGCTACTCTTATGAATCAGTGTAGACAACAACAATGACGAAGGTAGCAGTAACTCATCAATGTCGATACGCAATCACAGATGGCCACATGTGGGGTGGGTGAATTTGGCAAGCTGCCAAAAGCAGACGGGATATGAGCGGAGTTGTCAAGCAAGGTTTTTGGTTTAAAGACGACCGCAACATCGTGGAAATATCGCATAAATGGGTGATAAAACACCAAAAAATAAAGAGATACAAGATCGATCTGGTCTGATTTCTACCGCTTTATTAATATGGTAAAATTTCCTCAAGTAGGCGGTAGTAATCAGCATTGCACAGACTGCCGTATCATGCGCCAAGAAACAACCTTCTTCAGTCAAAAGATGCGGGACAAGTCGCAATACTGCTTGGCGTTCTATGTACAGACGTCAAGGAGTCGTCGGTAACAGTTGTTTGTGAATTGAAAAGTTAAGGTAGAAGTGGGGAGTTGTATGCACTGGGGATGATGCAGATGGTAGTCTAGTGATAGGTCATTTTAACGATTGGCAGATATGTGATGAGAAGAATGTTCCTTGACCATCCGGAATCGGGATTGACGGAGCATAGAAGGACAGTAACACTAGAGTACAACAAAAGTTGGTTGCTGCATCGATGCACAAGCCAGCAATCGGTCTATCGAGATTGTTCTATAGAGAAGATGGAAAAGGAAGCCAAGAAGGAAACCTACAGATGTACGTCAACATGTGACGTCCCCAATCGTCATGCATTCAGGTCACTTGGGCAAACGCGGGATTAAGACCCGAGGGGACTACTTTCGAGGGACCATACGTGATGAGAGTGGACAGCCGATCCACAGCTTGTCAAAACGCTTGGAGCGTTCGACCGAGCACTTTGTGAAGCAACTCAATCAGTCAGAGTTGTCGGATTCTCCACCGGCCATTGATCGCCCTACTCCCTGGGCCATCCGTGTGGATCCGCCCTCATGCACAGAAATCAGACTTGAAATTGAATAAGGACGCAGATAAAACCCCTCCAGCTCTCTTCGAATTCGGCTGACCTGCTCTTGTAGATGATTTACACGAGTTACTAGTGAGACTTTAGGAGCAGGAAACTGTCCCGACAGACTGGAGCCGCTACATCATGGACCCAATTTTCAAGACAGGTTCCAGTTCGGAATGCGGCAATCATAGAGGCATCAGACTGATTTCAAGTGCCTCCGCAAGTGGTTGCGTCTGTTGTTATCCACACTTACTGACATTCTTAAAAGTCAGAATCGCGAGCAGCAAGCCGGGTTCCATCGAAATCGAGTCTACATCGACCATATCTTTATCTTTCGTCAATTGTTGGAGCATTGCCATAGTTATTGGCGGCCCACCGTTGTCGTGTTTCTCGAGGTTAAAGGTGCGTTCGATTCGGTTGATCGATATGCCCTTTGGGACAGTCTGCTCAGGAAATGTGTGCCCCATAAATATGTAAACATTATCAGAGCGGTGTAAGCGTTTAGTTCGGGTAAAGTGAGGGTTTATGGCAAAGTGGCGCCGCACTTCAATATCTCCAGCCAATATCTCCAGACAAGGTTGCCCGCTGTCACCTTTCCTCTTCAACTTCGCCATTGATGAAGTCATGGAAACAGCGTTCGCTGGACACGACTTACAAGGTGTGGAGCTGCTTCCTGGCGAGCAACTTCTTGACTTGGATTATACTGACGACATTGCACTTTAGGTGACAGCGCCCAAAAGTGTCAAGCAGCACTGGACCGATTAGCACTGGCTGTCAATCGTTTTGGGCTATGCTTTGCTCCATGGAAATGCAAAGTACTTCTCCAAGATTGGCAGGGACCCAACGCTGCGCTAACGCTTTGGGGTGATCAGCTAGAAGTCGTTCAGGAATCCAAGTACGTGGGCAGCTATATTAGCGCCCGTGGGATGGAAGAGGAGATTACGAATCGTATAGCAAAAGCTCGAGGTGCTTTTGCTAATCTCCGCCACCTGTGGCGCAGACGCGACATCCCTCTCGCCCTGAAGAGCAGAGTTTACAATGCAGTCGTCCGTTGAACCCTCTTATACGGTTGTGTAACCTGGCGCATCAGGTCGACAGACAAAAAGGGGCTAGCTACGTTCGACCATCGCTGCCTTCGCAGCTTAGCTCATGTCTGGTGGGAGCACCGCGTGAACTATGAATGCCTTCGGTGTCGAGCATCTGGTTCACGAAGAGCAAGTGAACCGCTCAGCACCATTACATCACGCACCAGGCTCCAATGGCTGAGCCACATGTTGCGCAGGCCAGCCCACTGACTCCCACGACATGCGTTGTTTGCGCGCCCGGGGTCTGAATTGTAGAGAAGGAGGGGAGGCCAAGCAATGACTTGGTCAAAAGGTATGAAAACCCTCACTTTGAAGTTGGCGTCGATTGATGCATCCCAACTGTCTGGTTGGGGTCCTAAGAACGATGAACACGTTTGGTTGAACACACTTGCTGATATGTCGAAGACCCGATCACAATGGCGTTTGTGTTGTGAGTTTCTTCGTCCATCCCCCTCCCCTTTAGATTCCTCCCAATCCCGATCACTTTGCAAGTTAACATTAATATTATATTGCTTGATGTTTTTGCAGTGTTATTTTTAGGATCTTATCATTTCCGTATTGCGGCACGTTAGCTGAGGCGTGTTTCTCACCCTCAGCTAACGTGTATTGATGATTATGATGAGACAACATTCGAAGAACAAAAGAGAATAACATGTCACAAATTCAGTTTGTAAGTTGCGCGAACCCAAACAGAAGACTTGCCCTCGTGAGGCAATGAAAAGATGAAGCTGGGATTCGTTTGTGTCATATGCGTAAACGGGGGCAAGCACGACAAACCAGACCACAATGGTGGTGTCTCGGAAGGCGCAAAACAAGAAAATTCACAAAACTGAGAAGTGTGACTACACGGTTGGTGAAGTAAGGGATGGACTTACAATCTTACATACAGAAGTTTAGTGCTTCCTCTCGGTAACCAGAAAGTGGCTGACTGCGGATTGGTGCCGAAGAGCCGTTTGGACAAGCGGCGTTTGACTCCGTTGAAAGGCACACAATAATCCGCCGAAAATGATGGTGTATTGGCAGTGACGGCCGATTTTGGAGGATAGAAGTGGGTACCATTAACAAGTAAGCCAGAGTTTTGATCTAAGCACTTTTCGTTGGCTGACGAAGAATGAACGTCCCAGGAGAACTCCTCCTCCAAGGCATCTTCGGAACTACTACCATCCGCGTCGTCCTCTTTGCCGACCAGATCGAAAATAGAAACTGGACGAACTGTGAGGAGCATGTGTATTGGACGTAGAAGGTTGATGTGGATTCGTACTGTGCCCTCACAGTCATTGGGAGGCAAATGAGGCACCTGAGATAGGTGGGAGGAACGACAAGAAAAGTGCATGACAATGGCAACAAAGATAAGGTAAATGGCATCCAGATGTTTAGCAATTCCAGTGAAGAACGCACGAGCTGATGAAGCATAATAATACAAATAACTGCTTAAACAGGCCAGAGAGGATTACAGAGAAACACCTTGGCTGTAAAACAGAGCTAGATGGTGTGGAATCCAATGACTCTCATACAATGACAGTCAATCGAAGATCGCCTAGAGATAGTGCACAGTTCAAGGAAGGCATACAGCATCTAACTGATAAGATGGTGCGATTCGAACGAGCAAAGGGATTATAACTCGCAGTTTTGTAGTCAAGTTCTGGAGAATTCTACTGATCGCCTATCTGAGATCGGGTCCTGCTGACAGTTGGAACGATACATCCATTCAGTCTACATAATAACTAGAGGTGAGGAACACGCTGCCTATGGCGCTGCATAGCCGAGACGAACGGAGAGGTTAACGCATATCAGCCATGGCACCAAGCCGAAACATCGCTTAATAGACACACAATTTCATCGGCCGACCAGAATCATGGTGATGTGCTAATGGTTGTGTGCGCACCGGTGCTGGGACAGAAGTTGTGCACACTGTGCTTTGTCCCGCAGTCAGGTGATACCTAAACGATTGAACGCATGTCGCTGTGTGCTTGATGTCAATAACCGCGTGACACTTAACGTGTAACCGTGAAAAAGGTGAATGCCGAGGAGCCTATTTATCTAGTGCAATCACGCAAATTATCAGTTTCAAAGAGACACAGGAAGGATATTTCATGGGACAATAATAATCTCAAAGAGGGGTTCAATCATAGGACGCGCAACCCCCAACAACTCGCATTGTAAGCGTCTAACATGAAAGCACCACATAGCGTCTGCAAGCGAGACATTACGTGCCGGAGTGGGTCATCCTTTATCCAGGGGTGAGAAACATCCCAGCTATTGTGCCAGAGCGAAAGACGACAAGTGTGGAAAAGAAAGTGGAGGATGACTCACTTTACGAAAGGAACCTACTCACGCATCATGTAATTAGAAAAAAGGCAAAATATATCGCGATGGGAGTACGTAATCAGAGGGACGAGACGGATTCACATGCCGATGCAAGCAACAAGATTTCCATAAACGAAGGGTGTAGATGATGGAACGCCTACGTGTCTATGGTGGTTAAGATATGGTTGTGCTGGGGTGATTTTGTCTGGTTAAATCAAACCAAGAATCAGATGAATGCAGAAACACCGTTAGTTATGGAAGAGGCCATAGTCATATGCACCGAGAATGCTACATGCCATTTATGCTGCATTTTTGCGGAGATTATCTCCATCGCCTCCAAATTGCTTGCTTCTGTCATCCTTCACAGACTGGCTGGCATTCGTGAAAGCCAGCCGGGTATCGTCGAGGTCGTGGCTGCATCGACCACAACTTCACCTTGCGTCAGTTGTTGGAGCACCGTCACACAAATTGGCGGCTCACCGTTGTCGTATTTCTCGATATCAAAGGTGCCTTCAATTCGGTTGATCGATGTGCCCTTTGGGACTATGTGCTAAGAAAAGATGTGCCAGTGAAATATAGAAATATTATCTGAGCGTTATATGCGCGTAGCTCGGGCAGAGTGAGAGCTTACGGCAAGCTGTCGTCGCTCTTTAATATCTCCAGCCGTGTGAGACAAGGTTGTCCGCTGTCACCTTTCCACTTCAACTTCGCCATGGACGAAGTTATGGGAACAGCGTTCGCTGGACACGACCTAGATGGTGTGGAGCTGCTCCCTGGTGAGCAACTTCTTGACTTGGATTATGCTGACGACATTGCACTTATAGGTGACAGCGCCCAAAAGTGCCAAGCAGCACTGGACCGATTAGCACTGGCTGTCAATCGTTTTAGGCTACGCTTTGCACTCTCGAAGTGCAAAGCTTTCCTCCAAGATTGACAGGGACCGCCTCCTGCACTGACTCTTCGTGGGGATCAGCTGGAAGTAGTTCAAAAATTCAACTACTTCGGAAGTTGTATCAGCGCCCTTGGGATTGAAGATGAGATCACGAACCGTATATAAAAAGCTCGAGGCGGTCTTGCTAATCTTGCCATTTAGGGCGACAGGACGATATCACTTTTGCCCTGAAGGGCAGAGTGCACATTGCAGCCGTCCGTTCGACTCTCCTTTACGGCTGTGAAATCCGACTCATTAGATCAGCAGAGAGGTGTCGCAGTTTAGCAACTGCGCAACCAGCGCTCAATGGCTGGCTCGTAGCCGAAGTATCGAGAAGCAAAACAGTCATGCAAACGGAAAGCAAAATTGTATTATAACCAACATGTTGCACAACGCATCGATCCAGTATTCTAAATTAGGTCAATCGCTAAGTGGATGAGCGGGGTACTGACACACGCCAGCAGATGCGGGCAACGAATAGGAAGGGCTCTGTACATTGGCAGTGAGGATGTAACATTCCTTCGCCCTTTAGTTTGGACCACTCCAGCTATCTTCGTATCGATCGACCGGTCGGTGTAGCCGAGTGAAACAGTGACATTGCTGAGTCTTCGGTTGGTCTGAGTTTTGAGAGTGCTGCGCATTGGTCAACTCAATATGCTGATTTGAGGATGTCATCTGGCGGAATTAAAATGGAACGATCGCGGAGGTGAACCCTGTGTCGAGTAACTACTGACATCACGTAAAGCCGCCTCCGTATGTTGTCCCGCAATTTCGTGCAACTCTCCAGGCTGCCAGGTCGTTTCGTTGGGCAACTCGATGTAGACCGGTTCATTCGAGGATTACCGGTAAGCCGTTTTGTCCGGGGGTTCGATTCCCCGTCGAGGCAGATTATTGTGCAAAGTTTAATCGTGGCTTCTACTTCTACGAAAAGTACACTACTCACAAAAACCACCAATAATCTACATTTAGATGCGTTGAGCTTCAGTCCGCTCTTCTGAAGGTGTTTCAAGACTGTTGCAAATGCTGTCCTATGCTCGTGGTCGGTACGACCAGTAACCAAAATGTCGTCCAAGTAAGCGCAAACTCCGGGTATGCCCTTCACTAAGTTGTCTATAATCCTCTGAAAGATCACCGGCGCGGTGTGCATCCTGAATTGTAATCGGTTATAGCAGAATAATCCCATGTGTGTATTGATGGTAGTAACTTCCTTTGTACTTCCTTTTGTACTGGACCGGAACTCCAGCGAGCGCCCGGAGCGACGCACTGCACTGGTCGCAATGGAGCTGGCGCGCTACCACATCGATATTGCGGCGCTCAGTGAAACTCAGCTCGCTGAGCAAGGTAAGTTACATGAAGCAGGTGCTGGCTACACATTCTACTGGGTGGGCAACGCCGCCTCAGCACCACGTGAACATGGGGTCGGATTTGCAATATCCGATCGCCTGAATGGCCAGCTGGAGGGTGAACCAACGGGCATCAGCGCGCGACTGATGACCGTTCGCTTACGACTCGGAAAAGGTAAGTTTGCTACTTTTATAAGCACGTACGGTCCGACCATGTGTTATCCTGATGACACGCGTGATCAGTTCTACACTGAGCTATCCTCCGTGATACGGTCTGTGCCGAGGAGCGACCGACTATTTCTGCTGGGTGACTTCAACGCGCGCATTGGGCGGGATGCATCAGCGTGGACAGATGTTATCGGTGCGCATGGCATTGGTTCAGCGAATGCGAACGGTGACAGGCTGCTCTCACTATGTGTCACTCACGGCCTGACGATCACTAACACTCGGTTTGCACTGAGTGCGAGTGATATAGCAACTTGGACGCACCCACTGAGTGGTCACGCTCACCTGCTCGACTATGTCATCGTACGTCAGCGTGATATGCGTGAAGTGCGCATGACACGTGTACTGCGTGGAGCTGAGTGTGGCACTGATCACAAATTGGTTCGGACCAAACTGTACATATATTTTCGTAAATCTATGTATTGCACTCCCGCCGTGAATCGGCGTAAATTCAACATTCTCTCCCTCGGTATTGTGAATAAACATTTTGAGCTAGAGAAGACGATGGCTGCACGCCTGTGTGATGTGGAATGTATAGCTACAGTGAGCGACCTGTGGTACCACATTCGCGACCAGGTGACAGCTGCTGCCGACGAGACCATCAAACGCGCAAACTGTAAGCGGCCTGATTGGTTTGATGACAACAATGTGACCATTGGGTCATTGGTGTCAGAGAAGAATGCAGCATTTGCTGCACATGTGGCAGACCCCAGTGACTTGGGGAAGAGTAGTCAGTTTCGCAAACTTCGACGGCGACTGACCCGAGAGCTCCGTCGCATTAAAAATGCATGGTGGACGGAGAAGGCGAAGCAGATGGAATGCTACGCCGAACGCTGCCAACACAAGGAATTCTTTGACTCCTTGAAGGAGGTGTATGGACCGAGATTGGAGCCGCTGAGGACACCGATCGATGGTTGTTCAGCCGCTACCTGCACCCAGACTGCAGACATAATGCAGGTCTGGCGGAAACACATTGACTGTCTTTTGAACAACCGTTCAGAGATCGACTGGCCTACATTGAATGGCCTGAAGCAGCACGATGTGAAGGCGGATCTGGCGGATACGCCGACACTGGATGAGACGCAGAGAGCACTTGCTCAACTGCGAAACGGCAAGTGTGCCGGGGCTGACGGGATCCCACCTAAAGTATTGAAACACAGCGGAGCCGCGTTGATGACTGCGCTGCACCAGTTGGTGCGACGTGTGAGGATTGAGGAGGAGGTGCATCAAGAGGTGAAGTATGCCCTTGTGCTACCACTGTACAAGGGCAAAGGGAGTAAGCAAAATTGTACGAATTATCGTGGCATCAAATTGCTGAGTTGTGTGGGCAAGGTGATTGACCGAATCCTACTCAATCGCCTCGTCAGTCAGGTTGTGGAACCTAACGTGGCGGAAGAGCAATGTGGATTCTGTTCGGGTAGCAGCACTATAGATATGGTGTTTGCGGCTCGTCAGTTGCAAGAGAAGTGCAGAGAACGACACCAGCCATTG